ACCATTGATTCTCTTTCTAAGTGGCCTGAAGTCTTTTTACAACTTTACTAAATTCTGATTTAACAATCCAAGCATTAAGAAAATTTTTTAGTCGAGAAGGGGTTCCTACGGTGTTAGTGACTGATAATGGCTCTCGTTTTGCTGAGAATGCAGTCACTACCTGATTGAATGGCATGAGGTGCAAACGCCTGTTCACTTGTCCCTGGCACCCTTGTTCCAATGGTCAGATAGAAAATTTTGTCAGGACATTGAAAACTGATGTTGATTCTATTGCTGCTTCAACATTTAATGAACTGGAGAGGGGATTAGATACATTACTACTGCGATACAGAAATGCTAAATATTCTGTAGCGGAATAAACTCCATCAAAACTATTAAAAAGAAGAATTCTTCGTTCGAATATGAGATATTTAGAGTCTACAGAAGCTACATATTATAGTGGGAATGATCTTCGAACAGCCATGGGGATTGTGGTGAAGAATGTCGGGAAGTCTATGGTGTGAATTTTAGATATAAATGATTTCAGTACACACAATCGACAAATCGATCAAATACAATTCCATGAACCAAACGAGTCCGTTCCAATTTCAGTTGGTAATTCTAATACTATTGAGTATATTCTAGATCATACAGAGTCTATATCCAATACACAGTCTGACAGACACATAATGAACCTAAGGAAAACATATTCCATTGATTACAGAAACTTAGGTAATAATTTAAGTTATTGCAGTTGTGATGTTTGTATGAATTAATGATTCTTTTGTACTTGATATAAGCCTGATTTTGAATTTCAAATACAATACGTTCGTTTGTGTTCATCTAATTCTGTCTGGCTTCCATTTCACTATTTCAGGGATTCCTAGTTCGTATAATAATTCATATACTTTACACATTGGTTGGAAAGTACTTTCAAAATTCCCTGGTTAGTTGAATGTCACTGTTTGCTTGTCCCTGTCATACAGTCCCATTCATAATGATATTATGAAAGGCTTACAAAGGTATAATGACACATATTCTACGCTATAAAACCCAGGTGACCTTATCGTTTCATAACCTGAATCTTGAAGACTAACATTGTATAACCTGTAGGATAACAAATGTTGCATAGATACAAACAATACTGTTCAAATGAATCATCGATCGATTGTTTCCGAAATCAGAATTCACTTCACATAAAGTTCTTATCTCATTCTAAGCAATGAAATCAGATTGTCATTAAAATTTCGGTTCATAGTTTCATTCATTCCATATGCTTCAACTAAACTTGTTGAATACATTTTTTTATTATTTCAAGGTCAAAATACTGGCCTATCAGAATAGTTTTCAATGTTCAATACTATAAATTAAGAATCGAGACCGTGACTAAAAATCTCTTTCTCAGAAGGTATGACATATGGATCGATATGTTCAAGGTCATCACTCGTCTTTAAACTAGTGCAAATAGTCATATTGCCTGAATTAATTAATAGTTTAGTATACCGTAATATGGCGGTGGTCGAACAGTCGTCATTTTGAGGATCTATATTTCACTATTTATGTGAGTTACTATTAGTAAATAGAATTCCAAAACATAAAGAATACCGGCTACGTCAAAATTTAAGCCAACAAGTAATTGAAACAACAACAAGCGCTTCGTTAATTTGCAACGTTATACGGATTCAGTTGTTGGTTTGCTAAACTATTGAAATCCTTGGAACTTAACATGATATCACTTCATCTGAGACAGGATTTAGTGTTAAGCTCTTTTAGAAATCTAACAATTCGATTTGGCGACAGTGAAACAACGGAGACATATATGGTTGTTTAGTGTAGGGCCAGAAAAATGTCACTAAGCCCTAGCCAAATCATCCAGTAGTTTAGTCATAGAATATCGAGCAAATCATCGATCCTCGTCAAGGTCAGGGACAACCAACGCGCATCTGTTAATCGTATGCCATGGACTGGCCCATGCGGCAGTGGTCTTACTTTCGCTTGTATCTACTTTAACTAGTATATTTCTGTAATAACGTCCTCTGTGTAGTACAGTCTTCTGAGCATTTATGGTGCCTTGATACGTCAATGGAGTAGTCCACACAAGGTGCTGACCACGAGGTATGACTTCGACATTAGCTAGTTTGTCACACCATTCACGTCTAACTCGAGTAGGCCTCCAATCATTTCAACATAGATCATCTACTCTGGTGATCTACACTAGATTTCTACTAGTCGGTACTTGGTTTGAATTACAGACAACAATGTTCTGGTATATTCCTCTTAAATATTCACATTATAATTACATTAAACCTCAGTTCTTTGGCTATCAACACCAAACATTTTTAGTCATTCGAATAGACACGAAATTCAATGTAAATTTCGGGATGTTCAACAGCAATAGAGAGCTAAACTAAGTTTCAGGCAATGACTGATGTACGTCTATCCTCAGATTATTTTTCAACATACTGAAATTCATCACTACATCAAGTGTATGAGTTACGTGCTAGATGTATGACGTCAAGTATGACACATATATACACTAACCTTTTATCCTAGAATATCTCTTAAACCAGATAGTGATGTTCCAATCATAACTCATGCTAACAAAAGGATAACTCGTAGTGTGATAGGGGTTAGTATTTGCGTTAGCACATCTGACAACGTGGTTTTCGATTAGGTGCAAGAGCACACAAACAGCTGGAGGGAGGGAAAAGAATATTTTCAACTGTTGCCTATGAAAACAAGTAGTCTAAACTTACTTAAAATTCAAAAAATACACAAAACAATGTTACTACGCGTGTTATTCACTCGAGCGAAATCAGTCGTTGTAAATCTTATTTTCAATTAATGTTCATCAGCCTGTGATTGGTTTACATATTTGCTCAAGGTCAAACGCCGATGTATGGGACCAATCAACATCCACTCTACTTATAATACTATTTGTTACTGTATCAGTTTGCGAAAAAATATATCACAGCAGTGGCGTCCAGATTAACGTACCTATAGCGTGCAGTTATTGGGTTCACACATGAGATTAGTTACTATTATGGTGTCGTTAAATTTTGTGTTCATTCAGAGTATTTGTATACAGATCGTTACTTTGTGTCCAGAATATAAAACGGGTAACCTGGAAGCGCTGTGTCCTGCGTTTTGACTTCATTAGTGCGTGGGATCTGGTATTAAATAATCAACAAATTGTTAGGATTTCATGGTAAGATAAGCTTCCATTACGAATATGATGGTGTAGATCACCAACGTAGATGATCCATGTTGAAATGATTGGAGGCCTACTCGAGTTAGACGTGAATGGTGTGACAAACTAGCTAATGTCGAAGTCATACCTCGTGGTCAGCACCTTGTGTGGACTACCCCATTGACGTATCAAGGCACCATAAATGCTCAGAAGACTGTACTACACAGAGGACGTTATTACAGAAATATACTAGTTAAAGTAGATACAAGCGAAAGTAAGACCACTGCCGCATGGGCCAGTCCATGGCATACGATTAACAGATGCGCGTTGGTTGTCCCTGACCTTGACGAGGATCGATGATTTGCTCGATATTCTATGACTAAACTACTGGATGATTTGGCTAGGGCTTAGTGACATTTCGCTGGCCCTACAATGGTTATGTGGCTGGTAGTGCGGTTAGTGGTGCAAACAGTTTCACGTAGAATATGCTAGGTACTTAAAACCTAAAAACGTACAGTGCTTTCCTAGTCTCAGTGACGAGAGAGGTCTAACTAAAGCTGTCTAGTCTCCGTAGTATATATTCTTCCCAAACAAATCAGTACTACCTCAATTTACCGAGGAACCTAGTAATCCTAACACATTCGCTCAATGAGGTTTAGTCAAAATGCGAAACAACTGGTAGGAATTAGGAGTACTAACCAACTATAAATATAGTGAAATCAGCAACAAGCCACAGAATAAGTCGTTTGAAACTATCTTCAGGTTGTTGACTAAGATAAATTGTAGCTTGTGAGGAAACTCTTATAATATAATTTAGAGTGATGGTACGCACTACTTAGTAGTATTTACTCGTTTTGAACTACATGACATGATGTAAGGTCCGCACCACAAATTTATTTGATAAATACCGTCTATGAAACGATGACTAATAATATGCTCCTTCATAATTATCCATGGTCTGAAATAGGGTAGAATTTCGATGTCGAAACTTCTTGGACTTTATTACAAACTGAGAACAATCGGGCGGATATTAGGAATTCTGGTGACAACTTATTAGTGAAGACGTTTGTAGATAACAGACATTGTCCGAACAGCCTATCAAGCAACCATCTCCATATTTTACCAGAAAAACACCACATGGGCTCTCCCTACCTACATAGCTCACTGTTGAAATGGTTGTTTTAAGACTTGTTTTCCTTTTTACCGTATGCAGATTTGAGAACTTAAAAACTGACGACACTCAGCTCTTGGTAGTGTTAAGGAATCTTGCTCAAAGTTATGGGATTAGTATGTATAGCCATAAAAGTCGCTTCGCAGCAAATGACGTGAAATGTTAGGTCAGAAATGTAACAAGATATCCCCTCACACAATCACACATATATATCACTTCAATTTGGTACTTCCCTGTTTTAATTAAACTATTGAAACTGTATCTTGCTAGGTGCGAAGTTTAACTTGCCAGTGCCTGAAAACTTGGTGGTAGTAAATTATTAGGGAGCTTAGTTACTAAGAGACTTACAACTACGCAGCCGACAACGTAACATAACTATCTTGGTTTTATTATGAACCAGTTAACTAACCTTACATCACTACTCAGTGAGGATACAGCATCGCAGAAGTTTCATTTGACAAACTGAAGGTTGAGTACATTAGATTCGCATAGAACTTCTTAAGAGCTACCACAGAAGCCTTAGTGCTTAGTCGAAGGTTTACCATTTTGTTGAATATCATCCACGGATGATGGGGAAATCTTGTGACACACAAAATAGTTGTAGCAACTTACAACGCCCTCATCCCGTGAATAACCACGCAACAACACTGGGAATCAACCCTCTAACTGCATTTAAGAATATTATCTATGAGTCGGAAAATAGCGATCCAATTTCAGTGAATGTGAATTGGCTGTTCGAATATGTATGATATTGTGTACATCGTAGTGCGGAGTGTTCAGTTTTAAGGAGAATGTAAATAACACGAAAACAGTAGAGGAAGCCATATCCCCCAAGGATTCAAAGTAAACTCAGATAAGGTTTTAAGTGTGTGCATAATAACGCTAAGAATCCACCATTGAAACTTGCAACAAAGAAACATCAAACTCAGTTGTACATCGGAACATTGAACCGCGAAATAATATTTTCGAGGTTAATTTCCAATGTCTGAAAACAAAAAAAACATACTCTTTTACTGTGATACATATTTAGCCTAGATCACAAAATATTAAAGTATATAACTGAAGGAAAATCAATTTAGGGCTAAAGTCCCTGAATACAAAGAAAAGAAAATTTACATACATAAATACATACATACACACATCCTGACATAGATGAGAACTGTACAGACGTATTTTTACTGGGTAAATGCAATAGAAAAAGTACACATATCTTCATTTATAAAGGAATATTTCAAGAAGAGGGGATATTAATCAAATCCCCAGGTTTATTGACAATTTTTTGATGCTTTTCAACTGACATAAGCATTTACAACATTTGACCATGAACTATATCGACGTAATCGATCAACTGACCTAACAATAAAATAATACATATTATTCGCTTGAACATGAGTTAATGTACACGCCATAGGCAAAGGTAAAGCGGCTACTTCACCAACCTGAAGATATGCAACAAAAAAAAAGAGAAGAAATAAAATAAAAGCAAAGTATATGATACATTCATGGAATTATCACAATGAATAACTAATGACCTTAAGTAATTAAATACAATGTTTTGTTTTGAAGACAATAATAACAATTAAAGATTCGATCTCATTGAACATTGTTTAAATTACGGGGTAATTGAAATGGTTCATTCCCTTCTTTCTTTTTTAAATCTGTGCTGATGATGTTGTCTTAGAATGATAGTGAAAGTTTTACAACCAAATCAACTAGTTGAAAGAATATAACAATGACGAAATTCTCATTCTGAATTACATATATTGGCCGTCACTATTTGAATATACTAAGATAGATTTCCACTATATTTTCTACGTTTGTCTACCTGAAGTAGTTTAACCTCTTTGATATCGGAATAAATACAACACTGTCTAATGGTTCTCAAGAGTATTCTTAAGTCAATAATTAATAATTGAACTTGACGGAAACCATCATCATCATCATCATCATCAGAATTCACGAAATGACGATTCAGTTTTTATTATATATATTCACATATAATGTAGTTCAAAAGTTATTGTCTTCATTTCTAACGTTGAACACCTCTGTGGATTTGTCTATAGTCAGTCAGTCAATTAGCTATAATGAAGGATCAGGCACATAGATACATCGATCCAACTTTTGTCTATGGTTATAAATGATTATTTATTTATAATATTATAAAACAAATCGAACATAAACTAGGCAAATAACTGATCAAGAAAACTGTATATATAAAACAGTATGGAAGTTTACAGTGAATATATGATGAATGAATTCAAAGAAAGAGTATACATGAAAATTAGTTAGTTATAAAGATGAGAACAGTACAAGATTGTGTAAAATATACAACTAGGAAAGGTAACAATACATGTGTATATACTTTGATCTCTTCATTTTATCATTATTATTATTATTATTATTATGATTACTAGTATACACACCTTTTTCCATGGTAATGATGTTTGAACAGTGACTAAATTGACTTCAGATGAAGCATAACTATAAATTTCATAAGAAATAGCTGGTTCAAATGATCCAATTGGATATGTAATAGACCATTGTAAACAAACTCCTAGAAAAGAGAAAGAAGAGCAAAATAAAGCAAGATTTATGTTATGTCTAATTATATTTTTATTATCATTGCTACTACAAGTATTTCAACATATTTACTATGCCCTTGAATGCCCTGGTATGGCCGAGAGTGAGGAGAGTCCGCTCTCCTTCTTGAAATGCTCTCACATGGTCACATGCATATAACCACTGCCAGGAAAGTCCTATTCACTGCCTTCTCGCGGCGGTGTTATTTACGCAATTGAGAGGATGAAAAGCGAATGTCTGGCGCTTTAACCGGGTTGAGTCCACCTAGGGGAGTTGGAAAACCCTGATTCCAAATCAATGGTGCACCTGGGCTCCAGTATCCTGCGGGAACAAATGGCGTATGAACCAGTCGTTCGTCACTGGCTACCATGGGACCGCATCTCCTCACGATGCTCCACCGCCTTGTGAGTTAGACCTACAGGTCGAAGGCTTGGGGTTTGGCCCCCTAAGAAAACCACCCGCTTCGGTTTGGGCACCCGGGCAGTATCACAGCCCCCACACATATCAAATGAGATCTGTGTGGCGCATATGTATTTGGTGCCTCCTTGTACCATTATCTATGTGTTAAAATAAAATAAATAAAAGATAACATATTTACTATTCATCTCATCAGTCATGTCACCACAAACACTAGCACTCAACACAACTGTTATATACAAAACTTTTGATTGCTTCTAACAGTTCATCAAAAAGAGTGAGTGTAGACACAAGGCTCCTACCAATGTAGGCGAAAGATACCGTGCATTTAAAAAGTGTAGAATGCATGCTTTACTCACAGACACATAAATTTGCAACTAAATGCAATTTGGATAGATTGTATGTCATTACATAATAAGACAGATATCGTCCGCATACTCAGTGTTGGAAAGTTATTCTTTACGTAACAGATCCACACCATCATTACCTAATTCTATCAGAACTGTTTCCAGAACTTATTTCATTAGTTTTATGTAAGGAACAACAATAGTGAGACAAGTAGAAAACAATCATGTTGATATGGAAATCAATATGCTTTATATTCATTGTAATTTTTAAGGTAAAAGTTAAAGAAAATAAACTAATTACAGGGAAAAAAAATTACTGAATAATGTGTGCTCATCATAGTATAGACTAACTAACCTTCAGCCGCTTCTGCAATAGTTAGCTGAGGAACAGGTTGCAATGGAAGATGGTTGATATTAGTTACTGGTTGTGTTGGAACTGGAGGTAGCAAAGCAACAGGAAGTAGTTGAACATCGGGAATAACAGAGTATGGTAGAGAATTGGTTATTTGATTAGTAGTTATATTCTGAGCTTGAGATAAAGATGCCAAGTCCAAATATGATTGCTTTGAATTCCCATTATCCAGACTATTACCAGTGTCAAATGTGAATGAAGGTGGAACATTTATTGTGGAAATAATCCCGTTCTGTAAATCTTAATATGAGTAGACAAAAAAGTGTTAAGGTAGAATCAAGAAAGTACTCCTAAACGTATTTATAAAAACCCGAAGTAGATGATTAAATAATGAGGCATGTTGAATAACTTGCTAACCCTGAGAATCTCATTAGTCTCTGATCACTCGAATTTTATTAATCTTCATCGCTTTTAGAACAGGCAAGTTGTCCGTTTGTCAACTAAGAGAAGAAGTATCTTGAGTAGCAGTCCGCTCTATATTACAATATTGACGAGAAAAACGGGTTATGAAAACAGATGTGTGTGGGATTCAAGTATATTATTGTAGTACGTTTGAAACCCTACATTATCGACTTGTTCCGATTATTAGATTGTCTTGATCTCATCACCGTATTATTTCTGATTGTTGTTAATTGCTTTCATTTCTAAATATAAGTGGATACTGTGTGCCTACTGAGTCACCGGTTCAGTTTTTCCCTCTTCCGAATGATTTTATTTATTTATTTAAACATATGAACATTGGTACAAGGCACCGAATAGATATGCGCCACAAAACCATTCGATTTGTGTGAGGGCTGGGATACTGCCCGGGCGCCCAAAACGAAGCAGATGGTTTTACTAGGGGGTACAACCCGAGCCTTTGGCCTAAAGGTCTAATCCACAAGACAGTGGAGCAACGTAAGGAGATGTAGTCCCATAGAAGCAGGTGATGAACAACAGGTTCACACACCATTTGACCCCTTAGGATCCTGGAGCCCATATGCACCATTGGTTTGGAATCAGGTTTTCCCAACTCCCACCAACCCGGTTAAAGCGCCGGGCATTCACTTTTCGCCCTCTCAATTTCGTAAACAACACCCCCGCCGCGAGAAGGCAGTGAGTACGACTTTCCTGGCAGTGGTTGTATGCACGTGACCATGTGAGAGCATTTGGAGAGAGAGAACTGACTCTCTCCCAATTTCGGCCATACCAGAGCATTTGGGGGCCTTCCGGATAATCGCACTTACTGCTCCTAACACTTACCGACTACATGAGGTACCTTCTGGCTAGACGCAAATCTACCAAAGGTCGGACGTTACATTATCATTGGCGTTTTTAAAGCATTGTTTGCAGATGGTGCACCGAGTGACGCTAAGCATAGATGTAGGGTACTAGGTGAAAAGAGTAAGTCGACTAACCGGCAATAAAGCTTCAATTGAAATGGTTAGGATATATGTTACTTGTGCCTGACTAACGTCTACTCTGATGTACAAAGCTGATTTAGGAGAAGGTTAGAAAAAAATATACGAGTGGTTAGACCAAGAAAAGGGCAACAGTTCATCAAGTTGTCGAGCAGTGGTCTGAGTAGTACTGTTAGATGCATACTACGTAACCAATACTTACAGATGCTAGGTAAAAAGAGGAGAAATAGATTGTGACTTGAGAGTTGCATTCATTTTTTTTATCTACCGTTAAAACTTGAGTGATACTATAATCGAAAATTAGCAATGGTTTTGGTTCCGAGTCAGACAACATCATCGACATTAATTCATTTTCAGGTTCCCCAACAAGAAATATCCTTTCAATACATTGATTGCTATGATTTACTTATTGATTCAATAAACATAAACAATGGTACAACTGGGTAGAGTACCAAAATAAGTATGCACCATGGAAATAAGGAAATGAGATTGTGAATGGATAGAAAAAATATGGGGAGTATAATCAAAAATAAATAAAAGAATGAAAACAAACGAACAAAAATAGTAAATAGTGAGAGTCCCTTTAGTTATCACATGAACATAAAGGAAAATTACACCAGGACCTCCACGAGCTTCTATTTTGAGCCATGTCTGATATGTCAAGCCAGTGAGTTGTATCGGACAGGAAGCCTTAATGGACCAGCAGACACTAGTCTTACACAGTTTTACTTCGTACAACAGCATTATGCTATAAAATGACCACCTCTTCACCTAGTCGCAGCATTGATAATCGGATAATCAATGCACGATATGGACGTCGCTGGGATGACAGTCGTCTGATCCACCGAAGTCAATGTTTTAAGATGATGATACTAATTGAATTGTTGTCACTGTGCCCAAACACACATTGATGAACCTCAGCATTACTAACATGGCGCTGCCACCGGATGCCAGCAATCTTTCGAAGACAATGATGATCGAACAGAAAGTCGTCGCACACTTCCAACTTGGGGAGGTAAGGTTTCGCAATCCCAGAGCAGAATTGTTTTGACCAATGAAGTGTATACTCTACCTTTTACAGTCGGAATAATATTACGACGGAGCCAAAGATGGTCCAGATTACCATGAGCCTATCTGGCTTTAATTATAATTAGACGGATCTTATCAGTCACTCCACCGTCAGCACTTATACAACAACTCGGGCAAATAAACTTTGACTACATTGGAATTTTCCTCAGTTCGACGATAGATTTGAAAAGAACAGATATAAGTATCATCCATTGGAAAAATATCATATAAGCTTTATGGTTAAAGATGAAATTGTGAGTAAAATAATGAGGAATGAATAAAAGCATACGCTTGTGCATACTTGAAAGAGGTGTGGCACTGTGTTTATTTATTTTTTTCGTATTTGTTGAGCCAGAAACCAAATGTTCTTCCCAAGCATTTTCTATATTAGTGTCTGATGTCAGGTCAATAGTATCATTGACCTGGATAGCTAAAACTGTACCTGATGCAGTTTGAGGAGGAACACACTGGAGTTCGAAAGTTTTTGGTAGAACAGATAATAATCTAGATGAAACAGAATTCGATGAAGTTAGATTCGGCTGTCGATTCGAAGGATTCACTGTTTGTATAGATCGATCTGGCGCGGATACCGAAGGAGAATGAGATAGTACAGGTAAACGAGGAGCTTGAGAAGAAAGAGTTCTCGACTGACCAATACCACTTGTTGGAGCAGGCAAAGGAATCTACCGGAAGAATCACGAGAAACACACAAAAAATCAGAAGGTCAATAACTTCATAGCACTGTCTGTCATATGTTTCAACAATAACATAAAGTAATTGAGAATATCACTCACTCGCTCATTAATCAATTTCGTCAAGTCTTTTGACGAAGACTCAATGAAATCCATTCGACCTGTTAATTGAGTTATTTCTTCCTTTAAACTAGTTACTGTTTTTTCTGTTGTCTCAATAAAAGATATATATTTGGACAATTTCTCTTTTAGAGCAAGTTTTAATTTTGAATCGAAACAGAGTCGAACTTTTTTAAGTTCTTCTTGAATTTCTGGTAAGCTTTTTAAGTTGCAAATATTGTAACCATCCTTGAAACCATTATTCAATTTACAAACAGTATCTTGTTGCTCAAATAACCTAGGTTTTTTAACTGACGGACCTTGAGTACATGGATCACAGTCATTATGATTTTCAACAATTACATCATTCAACAAAGTGCAATTTGAATTAGGAATAGGTGTATTTTGTGTAATGTTAAAAGAATCTGTTACATCTGCGTTACAGGACAGATCTGACATGACAAACAATCCACTTAAGCATAAGTAAATGAGACCTACAATAAGATGAAAAAAAAAACAAAGGAGTGAAGATCCAGAAAGAAAGCATAAATATCAGGACATACCTTATTTTTTACCCGACGATTATTATAATTGTATTTATTGAACCTAATTTGACAGTTTCTAGATTTGTGGATTAAAAAACTGTTTGACTTGATTAAGAAGCAAAATATTCTTTTTGTCTTGTACATGTACTACCACTTATATACAATAAGTCAGTCCTAAGCCCAGTAGAACCTAGCACATATGAGCATGGGTTCACGTTGCTGTACCCTACTAACACAGCAAGATGAAACCATCGACAAAAATGGTAGAATAGTAGATGAAATAACAGTATCAATGGTCGTAGAAAAGATTGGGTGTACACAATATGACATTCAAGAAGAATAAGGACACCTACAAACGGTTATCTCTTTCACATTAACTCACATTCATAAATATTTCGATTAACTAATATTATTCATAATTATTTACATAATTAGTTGTAGTGTAGGATCAGCAAACTGGTAAAAAGAAATTTCTGGAACGTGTCACAGAGCCATATCCGATATAAAACTGATTTGCGACTGGAACTTCCAGTGGTAACTAACTTGTAAACTAGAGGCTCACAGGATCGACCAGATTGCATTTTTTGGTACTAAGGTTACTGATACTATTTGGTTGCCCAAACCGAAGTAGATATAGCGTGGTTTGAATGTGAAATTAAATGGTTGAGCCGATCGCTTTAACTGCTAAATCATCACTGCGATAAATCCCCACGATTGTATACTCTATATACATAAAGTTTTATTTATAATATTACATCCAGACAACCATCCTATGATTCCAGGGGGGAGGAAGTCAATATTTCGGAACATTTCCAAACGGTAGACAAAGGTGGTGGTACGATTTCCGGACATCTGTTGCAAAGAAAGATCACAGACGTTAGTCATACTTACCTTAAATTACCTTGAGAAAGATTGTGGTCGTATATGAGCTTCCTATTTACATCGCAGTTTTCTATAGAAGCGGTTGTCTTGGACACCATCAGGGTGGCGACTGATACTAACATTCACCCTATCTAGCGGTAACCCGCCCGTCGGTGAGTGGTTAAGGCACCTATATCTCAAGAAAGACTTTGGAGATTTAAAAACCACTTCATCTAATTTGACTAAGTTAGACAGGAAGTATCACTACTGTTCAAGCAAAGTACCACCTAGTCAAGTGAAAGATCATCCATCGCGTAACACATACTTGGAAAGAGATATGATTTTCAAGTAACAAAATGTTTACTGTCAGCAACTAAGAATCAAGACACTTGTCTTTACTGTAATATGACCAGTTATTTTATACAAAGATTAACACTGAACCTTGCCTTCTCAGTTTGAAACAACAGTCATAGCGTAGATCCCAACCACTGACAAATGACAGCGTATGTATGATTTTACGTGGTTTGTCTTTAGAATATTTTCTTGATATGCAAGGTCTTGTTGGAAACAAAATCGTTAAGACAACTGTATGAGTGTCCTTGTTCGTAAATCATTATTTTAAAACATGTAGTGAAATACTGAGGTAGTGAATCTTGTATAGAACAATCAGGACATGGATACTTTCTCACTTCAAAACTTTTGTGAGTCAAAACTCTTCAACAATCTTGATGTCATCCAAATTCAGTATGCAAGAGGTTTACACAACAGGAACAATTGGTACTTAGAACAACTGGTCTCCAAAATTCTTCATTTCCTTGCAAATACAGCCCGTCACACAGTAACAATGTTAACTGGGATTTTTATGCATATCCTGTTAACTATTAGAAGCCATGACCATAATCGTATTTGGAGCCAAATACTTTACCTAGTAAATAGCGTCTGGATTTACTTCCCAAGATAATTATTTGAGTGCGTAATGTTGCGCATCTGGGGAAATGATGTGTCCGACCATCTGAATCATTGTTTGGTAGACGAAGACGATGAATGTGATTGGTCGAGATATAATACTTCTGTAAATCATGTGTCATACAGGGTAGCAATCTGGGCTACATAAATTGATGGATAATACACACCACATTTAGTTAAATATTTTTTGTACTAAGTCAATAAAGTAAGTTGGATCTTCTCTTGGGAGGAAGTAGCGTTCTGTGTGAAACTGAGCTAAGCATACCTTGGAGATGATCACCTTCAAGTGCTGATGGGATGATAACATTTAACGTACAGGCCCGGGGAGGTTAATATATATCGAGACCCAAACATTTAGGCTCAGAAACAAGCCATGTTATCATTTTGTTCGAACAATCCGCCCAACCACATGTTAAGGAAATTAACAGTCGTCCTGACCACAGCGATGTGAAATGTAGCGGATTTATTGAGTACCGTGACACATAAACAAGGATTCAGGACGTATAATATCCGACACAATTACGAACTAAAGTCTGGTATACTCAACTTTTAAAGACGATTACCACAAAGAATGTGCTGTCTATGATACAAAAGATATTCAGGTATATTTTATAAAGAAACTATGCAGTCATATTTGCACAAAATGTGTAACCGAACCATGTACAGTTGTGAAGTACATATCAAAACAAACAATAACATACCGGCAATACAATACACGCGTAACCCAGCAGCGGAGAGGTGAGTGCTTAGTTCGATGCAACAGAAAAGAGCATAACCATAATGCGACAACCCACACTAATCAGCTCGTCTTGTTTATAGAACTTCAAAATAGTGGGAGTCTTGAGCGGTTAGCGAATAGTTAGTAAAACACAGATACAATAACTACAAATCACTTTGCAGGATCGATTTGTTTAAATGAACTATGTAGTAGTAGCAACCAAAGCGATCAAGGTGCCGTGGTGTGACAAGTGGGATACCAAGACACATATATGGTAGTCAAGGTTTCTAAGAAATATAAATTGACGACATATAAACCTCCTAATAATTATGTAAAACACTGTCAAGGTCGTCAGCAAGTCCTGTAACCTTGACGCCATACTGTGGTTACTACAAATGTTACTACAAATGTCTAACAGTGATGTAGTGTTCTTGATAAATCTCGGTTATTTTCGAGTTAATGTACAGTGATCAAATATTATAACGGCTACGTACTTACGAAGTTGAGCACAGAGTTTGTAATTGCATAAGGCGGTATCACAAAGTCAAACAAAACGTATCCTATTGCTATTCTATAATAATTAAATATCTTGTCCAGGAACAACATGGTATTCGCCGTAGGAAAATTTATTTTGACATTCACCGTTCCCATATTTTTGTGTTTATTCGATCGGGTTATCCATTGAACCCTGTATGCGCTTCAAGAACGGAAGTCTGATCCTAACGTTATTTGCATTTCTCAAAATCTTTCTGTGTTCTTACCCAACAAATGAACCATTTTGATCCAAGCAATCTGTCCTGAGCTTAACGTCTGCCATGTTACTTTTCTGTCTGAGATTTACCCTAGTCAATAGTTGACTATGTTTTTTGTCTCACCCTTCAGTTTTCCACATCAAAGATAGTTTTGGTGTATCTAAACCTTCTGTAACACCCGTTTTTTATCCACTTTACTCGTTTTGAGTGTATTGCTTTTTGTTTTACGGTCGTCAACCTTTGGTAGGATCTGTTAAGCAACTCACACCACCAGAGTCATGAAGAACTCATGCAAGCGGCCTGGATGGAATTTCGCTGTCACCTATGGCATGCGGTGTGAAAAATGGAAAAGTTGGTTTCATGAAGCATGCACAGATATTACAGTAACTGCTTACTACAGACTCTGTATGTCGGATTGTAGGTGGATATGTGGCACATACAACATAAATGCTGAGGATTTGCTGAGCAACATCATCATTATTTTGACAACTTTGAGAAAAAGGTTGTCAGCGAATCTGAAAAAAGACAGTTCTGGAACGGATAAACAAACAAAGACGTGCAGTGAAGTAAAGAAGAGGATCTTCGATAACGTTAGCATCAATTGAACATTCATCGACATTAGTGAGGATATGCAGATGCTCAGCACTACCATAACATCGAGTGTAAAGGACTCTCTCAGCAAAGTTGGGTTTCTTGGCACAGGCTCCCCAAATGCAACTGTGGCCCCCGAAAATTCTGTAGTCCACTGGACCATGTTAAAAGAGTTAAAAAGTGTCGAGTGTCACCGCCCGTATCTTGTAGTGAAATCAGCTGGTGATTTGAACACACAATCTACACCTAAGTTTATCCAACCGGTCTGTAAAGAGCACAAGGATTCGAGACGCATTTCAACTCCCTAACAAGGAGAAAATCGACCTAAACGTACCAGGAAACCTGGGAAAATGGTTACAGTTCGCGTTGACTCACTCATAATCATGAATCCTAAAGATAGCTCTGACATTCCGCTCAGTCTGCAGGACAAAAATCACAGGATGCTCTGAAAATAGTTGAATTACGAATATTATTAAATATTACAAATGTATTATTCGTTTAGTTGAACACGAAGCTCAAACTCTATAAAACAGAGCTACCGACGGTTACATGGCTCACTCGGGGTAATGATTGCAAGCACAAAAGTCACTTAGTGTAGCGTTCACCAACACTGCCGACGTAGATGATGTTCTGACGGCTATTCACCTGCTGCAATCAGATGAGGTTACAATAATACTACTACCTGGCACACCATATTCTGAGTATAATCTCATCAAAAGCGTCTCTAAGGTATCTCGCGAGACATTCTTTCGCTGAAGAAAACAGATCATGAGTACGCAGACACCGATATTCAGTAGTGGAAATTCATTATGCAGTCGTTGAGGCTCAAGAACATATTGACTAGACAAGTGGTGAGACTAACCAAGAAGGATGAGGATTCTAGACCCCGATTATTGAAGACAACCCTCGGATCCTCCCATATGGCGGCTGTCACTCTTGAACTATTTCATGCCAACAGACGACGGTTGCCAGTTGGAATCCACGTCCATTTGGATAGACCACATTATGACATGATTGAGCACAAAGACAAGTTGGAGCTGACTATCTCACTTGTAGACTGTCAAGACCATGAAAAAAACGTAAAGATTATAGGATCTACCAATTTGGAAGTCCCTATATATGTAGGTTGCTTTTCCATTCACGTAAGGTTTATACAGACTAACAGGACGGGGGAAGTATAAACTGCTCATGTATGAACACTACAAGTTTACCAAATAAAATGGATAAGCTGGGTGAACTCAGTAATGCTAATAATACTCATCTGATAGGATTATCTGAAACATGGATATCTTCTCAAACTACGAGCTAGGAGCTAACAATGCTCGGCATGTCTTTGTTCCGCAACGACAAAAAAACAGGGAGGGGGACGGAGTAGCTCTGTACCTGTGATCTTTTTAGTACTACGTCCAGTGCACACCGAAGAGTTTGTCAATCTAGACGAATCTGTAGGGTGCTCAGTGAGATCGTCTAACACCTTGAGATGTCTAGTTGGAGTCATCTACAGAAAGTCCACTGTTGATACTGAGTTTGACAATCATATGGTGGAAGGATAATCTCATTCTACTCGCCTCGGATACATTCATATCTTGATTCTAGGGAAATTCAATCTTCTTAAAGTCAACTTCGCTAACCGCACAAACATTGGGAGTGACAAACCTTCTGAAGCCCGGTCCGTCTACCTCATTAAAGACAAGGGATTATTCGAAGATGTCAAGTCGGCAACTCATCGGAGAAACAGTCAAACGCCGTCGCGCTTAGACTGAATTTTTACGAAAGAGGAATTCCTAATTGACAACTTCCCACTCTTGGTTCCTCTGAATGAAAGTAATCACACCTTCATAGCCTTCAATCTTAACAGCGAATCTGATTTAAGAGATCTCCACCAACAATCTACGCTGGAATTTCAAACGGTTGGATGTGTCAGCTTTACAGGACAATCTACAGCGGATGGACCTGAAAGTTCACTCTCAACTTAATGTGGATGCTCAATAAGATTTCTTACTGCACATTATCTTATATGCTGCATGGCAGAACGTTCAAAAAACTGTCCCCAAAAACGAGAGGAAACCTACAGTCTTCGAGAAGCATACTCTTCATTTCTTAAACCACCAAAGACTCTACCTGGCTGAATACTGACGAACTAGTAACAACAGCGTACACAGACGATCCAAGCAAGCAAAGTATCAGTGAACAAAGACAGTAAGAGAAAACAGGCTTCAGTATCAAACAAAACTAACCGGAAAGTTTTTCTTCACCTCGGATAGTTTGTTCCATCATGCAGCCTCTCTTCGACAGTGCAAAACCGGAGTTTCTTTTCACCCTAACAGCGCGATTTGAGAAATGGTCACTCTTGTATAACTAACCTGCTGACCACAATGGGCTGGTGGACAAATATCCTTTATCACAAGGTGGAGGTTGGCGTCATATACATTGACTTCTCAAAAGCTTTTGATAGGGTCAACCATATATATCTTATCAATAAGCTCAAACGATTAGATATCAAATCATCTTCAATTGTTTGAATAACTTCATATATAAAAAGTCGATATTTAAGGGACAGGGTCAACTTCACTTTCTTTTGAGGCTACAGGTTGTTCTAGTGAAATCTCCCAAGGTTCGGTCCTTGAATCTTATGTTTTCTTGATTTATATAAACGATCTTCCACAGCAGGTATCGTCAGATTCATTAATTTTTGCTGATGATGTGAAACTATAAAGAGAAGCATGCAACCAAGGAGATAAACCAGCACTTGATGAGGATCTGACTCGAATTCAAAGTTGGGCGAATGACAACGGACTTACCCTTGTCACTTCAAAGTGTAAGGTAGTTCATTTGAGACATGTTGCAGACCACAAATACAACTTAGTTAATGCCCTTTCGAAAAGTATCTCAAGTCGAAAAAGTTCTAGGGGTGTTGGTACTCCATAAGCTGAAATCCTAAGCTAACTGCGGCAAGAATGCTTTTCGAATAAACCTTGCACTGGAGATGTCGAAGCCCATTTTTCTACCATTTCGATAGATAAACTTTCCACATCATCTTCAACAGTTTTGTTCGTCCCCGTTTGTGCTACAGAAACGTTGTATTTCCTCCCTTACTTCAAGGGGATAAGGTTACATTGAACATATTCAACGGAGAGCCACGAAATCAGTTTATGGACTGAACTTGAAGTCTTATGAAGAGCGCCTTCAACCGCTGAATCCTTACCCATCCGAGTACAGGCGTCTTAGAGGTGACCTTCCAATAACTTATGGCATCCTGGACATCCACTTAAAAACCTAATTGAGTCCAGTCCCGACACAAACCTTAGGAATAGCACCCAGAAACTGGATACACAAAATGGCAGAACGGACTGTGGCACACGTTTTACGGCATCAGGGTATTATTATCATTATTCACAA